AGTTTTCTATCATACTTGTTTCCCTTAACATTACATTATATTAATTCCCGCGTCATGCACTTTTGTTTGAAGACATGGCTTTCATGGCCACATGGAACTCCCCAAGGCTTTGTTGCAGTCATTCTATGATGTTTTCACTGAGTTAGGACATAAAAGAGCTAGAGTCTAAGACAATCTTCTTGGAAATCCCATTCACGGTGGATGTCCCCACGTTTTTGACACAGGCAAGCCCCCATCTTTATACCTGCATTTGCTTTGTTCCTTATGCAAAGAAGTGGGGGTGAACATATTAGAGACTTTGAGCAAAAGGACCTAGGCTGATATCCTGCCCTGCCACAGTGACCTTGATCAAGGAAGAGAGCCTCCTAGAGCCTCTATTTCTTTGTATATCAAATGGGGGTGATGATATCTATCTTCCAAGGATGTTGTGAGAATTAATGAGGCAATGTTGGTGCAGCATCTGCTACATAGTGGGTGTTCAGTCTCAACATGTATGTTATTTTCTACTTTCTGGGCTTATTTTCCTTGGGGAAGGCAGACAGAGGCTAAATTTTAAATACTAATTATTTGTCTCTCATACTGTCCATTAAGTATGGCTGTTTAGTATGTCTGGTGGCTAATAAGGCTTTGTGGCAGGCTCCTTTTAACAGTCGATAACACAGTAATAGCATAACAAAGGGATCAAGGGCTATGGAGCCAGCTACCCGGATTGGCTCTGCCCCTTACCAGCTCTGTAACCTAGGTTATTTCTCCATGTCTCAGTTTTCTCATTTGTCAAATGCAGAATCAATAGTGTTTTGTCTGTAAGACTAAATACATTCTTTCATGTGGTATGATACGGTAGGACATTAGGCAGAATGAAGTGCTTAATAAATATTAGCTCTTAACTATTCAACATCATCTTCCAAATCAGGTAATATACAAGGTCACATAACTAGCATGTGATTGATTTCAGCACAGTGGGCAGAAGTCCTGCATATCATCCCAGGCTAGGCCTGAAAGTGTCCAAGAGGTCCTGCAGCTGTCTCCCCATCTGGTGGCTCATGCAGAGGCTGCAATGGGGGGCGCTGCAGCCTTCAGGCAGGGGGAAGAGCCTCAAGGTGTAGAAACTTGTATCTGCATTTCCCATGTGGAAGGATGTTGACCAAGCACTCTATTGAACTATCATGGATGCACAACCCAAATTTTATACTTGGGAGTTGTTACAACAACAACTTGCTTTATTAATATAGAACTCATTTCCTAATTTGCAGGTGGGTGTAAAAACTACGATAATTGCTAAATTTTTCTCAATGTAAAGTACACCATCCGTATTTTTCTCTTAAGCCGTTGGCCCCTACTGTTGTCTGCTAATGATGCCAGGAAATGACAAAACTATTAAGTCACAAATGAAGAAAAATTGTAAATTCGAGGAATAAATGATCATTCTTAGCTCAGAAATTTGCTTTGTTGATCTTCAGGCATACTCATGGTTATAATTACAGAATGTATCAGTAGCTTAGAAGAAAATTCTGGAAACAGTCATGGAGTGCTCTTTAAAAGTAGTACATTGTCATTGCTTCTGATGGTGCATAAGACAATTTGGGATAGAAAAAAAATCATAGCAATTGGCTGGGCACGGTGTCTCGTGCCTGTATTCCCAGCACTTTGGGAGGCTGAGGTAGGTGGATCACTTGAGGTCAGCAGTTCAAGACCAGCCTGACCAACATGATGAAACCCTGTTTCTACTAAAAATACAAAATTAATCAGGTGTGGTGGCACAAGCCTGTAATCCTAGCTACTCAGGAGGCTGAGGCAGGAGAATCGCTTGTACCCGGAAGGCAGAGGTTTACTGTGCCAAGATTGTACCATTGCCCTCCAGCCTGGGCAAAAAGAGTGAAAACTGTGTCTGGAAAAAAAAAAAAAAAGAAAGAAAGAAAAAAAGGAAGAAGTAAAAAAAGAAAAAAAGAAAAAAAAAGAAGTAATTAATGACTTATTCAAAAGGTGATTCAGAAGAGAACTACCGTAAGTATAAATGTTTTAAGAATAATTTAAATTATCAGTTTCACACATATTGTGCTTTCCTTTATATCCCTTGGTGATATGTAGTGAAAAATCTATGCCTAAATAAGTCTAAAATGTTTTTTCAACAAATATGGAAGTTCGAAGTTACTATTGTTTACTGGAAATATAATGTGAGCAGACAATTTTAAATCTTCTAGTAAGCATGTTCAAAGATATAAAAAGGAACGTCAAAATTAATCTTAGTAACATGTTTTTATTTGAAGAAATATATGGAAAATATCAGTTCAACATGTACTCAATATAACAAAGTTATTGAGGTATTTTACATTCACCTTTTCATACTAAGTCTTGGAAGTCCAGCCTGTATTTTCCACTTCACACCTCAATTCAGGACTGGCCACATTTCAACTACGCCAAATTCACATGTAGCTCATGGCTACTGTGCTTCACAGTGCACACCTAAGTGGGACAGGAGACTCGTGTTCTAGTTTGATTACGTCTTTCTTTGTACTGGGGTGCAAAAGAATGGTGCATTTTATACTTAGCGATGTCTTAGATTAGATGAAATAGGGTAGTTTTTACCTTGCTTTGGAAAGGGGATTCAAGGTAAGAAATAAATTTAGTTAGGGAAAAATATTTGTTTCTCACACATACCTACTATGTAGTTTTTAGAAGAAAAGTCGTCTGAGAATGCAATTACTTGCACAATATTCCTAAAAATGAGTTCCGTGAGTCACCATCACAGCTGGCTCTTCCTCTACTTGGGCCCACATGGGTGGCCAAGGTCCCTGGATGTCTTCTTCTAGGTTTTCTAGCACCCACCTGGGCTCTCCCATACCCTCTTTAACCTCTTCATGCCAGCATTGTTTTAAAACCTAAAGAGCATGTTGCTGTTTCTATCTTCTTTTTTTTCCCCATCCTTGGGATGGTAAGCCAGCAATGACCAGAGAAGACGTATTTTCCAAAGTCATTGATTTTTCTTTTGCTTGACTTTTCTGATCAGTTTCTCAGGGGGTTCCTCATTCTTAAGTACTGCCTGTTTCTCCAGCATGATACAATTGAGCTAGGAGAGTGGCTGGGCATAGAGTTTGTGGAATGTCAATCTTTCCCGGCTGCGTTCTCTACACCACATCAGAGGCACTCTTTACCTTGGGCTGTGACAATCATAGAGGCTGCTTTCTTATAACAAAGTAATTGTACTTGACTGACTCACACAGTTCAGAAAGATTCCGGGGCTCTGGGGATTTAGAGGACTGGAAAAGCCTCTGGAAAAGCCCAATGTTAGTCTCCATAAATTTGAAAGCACAGTTTCTCACAATATTCAAAGCGCAATGATCCTCTGTAGAATTTTTGAGTGTTAGGGCAGCATCCCAGGGCAAGGCTGCTGTTAGAAGACTAACACAATGCTCCTGACCAAAGACTTTGAAGCCAGTCAGAGATTGCTTGCCTGGCTCTGTCATTTCCTGGCTGTGTGTCAGAGGCTGACACCTAACCACTCTGACTTCAACTTTCCTGGGCTAATATAATACCTATTTTAGGAGGTGGTCTTATGATGATTACATGTACATCATCTACCACAAGACCAGCCTAGAGTTTTCCACAGATTGTATTCATGATCAGAGGTCAGCAAACTGTTTCTGTAAAGGGCCAGGTTGGCATGGTGGCTGCAGAGTCTCTGTTGCAACCCAACCCTACCCTTGTAGGGTGAAGGCAACCATAGACATGTGAATGAACGAGCGTGGCTGTGTTCCAATACAACTTTATTTACAAAAGTAGGTTGTGGGCCAGCCCCTGCTCTAGGCAACGAGGGGCTTGCAGAGATCTAGTGCAGGAGGGCCTTCTCCCTGCCACGCTGTGTGCACCAGGGTGTCTTGAACACAGCGCCTCAGTGCATTCAGTGGGATTGCCTGGGTATGCCTTTGGTTGTGAGGTAGTTCTGTTTCTGAGTCGTTGATTTTGATATGCAAATGGCATCTGGGACCCCTGGACTTACTTTTCACTCCCTCTCACGTTAGCCTTCTCTCTCTATCCTGCTGTTCACTTCACCTCCTTCCACTAGCTTCTGCTGTCTGGGAGTGCAACTTATCTTATACAATTCCTTTCTCTTCCTCTGGATCCTCCCAGCAGCATCTAGTACTAACTGACACCAACTCCTGTGTGTGCCCCTCAAAGTCCCTGGGGTTTGCGCATGCCTGGCTTCTCCGAGAACATGGAAAATTATCCTTCCAGTGATCTACTCCAGCCCTTCCCGATCAGGGCTGGTGTAGCCATGTCTACCTTTTAATTACCTGGAAGAAAGTGGTCATCTGTGGGGAACGAAATATGACAACAGCACGAAGGTGGTGGGAGTCATCTCTGATTCAGCACAGCTGTTTGAGGTGATGGAAGACTCTGAATTTCCTACCTGCTCACACTGTCCTCACACCAAAAACCCCAAAGACTTCCTTGATTGGAAGATTTCCTCACATTCTAAACAGAAAGCGCAAATGACCGAGAATTTCTTTCCAGGAGCCTAATTAACTGATTTTCCCTTCACGTCACAAGTATGAAAATATCAAGGCTAATTTGACATTGTGGTGGGTTGCAAGTGACTCGGCTGTCTTTAGGCTTTTCTCAAATAACTTATTTATGTTTTCCAAGACTGAATGCCCTGTCAAGCCGAGGAAGAGTCTCCCAAAGCCAGGCATTCATCAAAATCCTGGCTTATTAAGTCAACATCAAGATTTGTTAGCCTCAATATGCCTTTTCCACTTATTTCGCCACTTTCATTCTCCCGCATGTGGCAATTAATCCCCGGAAGAAAAAACCCCGCCCACCTGTGGTTTCAGGCTCAGGCTGCGTCCATATTCATGGCCGAAGGCCTGCTGCTGTTCCTTCTGTTGCCACTCAGTCTTCTAATTAGATTTCAGCTTTGCCATTTGTTTTCCTAGGGATGGATTGTTACTTTGCCACTTGCTCATTTGTATGTGTAACTTCTATGAATTAAAACAAGAGACTTCTAGACAAATGAAAACATGTTTTATTTACAAGAAGAAAGTCTGTACATTGTGTATACATAAAAATATACAAAACCAAAATAGAAAATATCAAAGTGTTAAAATGTGTACAAACACTTTTAAAATGCGACTCCTGGAAAACTTCAAGCCTTAATTAGTTTGAAGAGTACACATTTCATTTTAAAAATTATTATACAAAAGAATTCCCAAAGCTGTTAAAAAAGTTCACTGGTTTCCACTGGAAGAACTAAGTATTTCATCTAGAGTAAAACAGGATTTGTTATAAATGTTAGATTTTAACACTCCCAGTGCAATTTCTTTGTTTCAAATCTACCTAGCAAGAAGACTATTTTCCATAGAACCAGTAAATGTTTCTTCTAGTCTTTGAAAGCCATGAGCTATAGCTAAGCTTCCCTTCAAAGTTCAGTGTTAAATCAGGCTTCTGACTAGGATACAATATTAAGGTAGTGTTCTACCTACATAGTGCCTTTTAAATAATTCTGTCAGACCATTTTAACGTATCCAAGATGTGCAGAGTATGAGTGTGTGGGAAGCGGTTGGCGGAGGACTGAATTTTTTTTTTAACAGAAGGACATATAACATTTGTTTCCTTCTCTTAAAATATTAGTGGTTACATAATTAAAATAAAATTTATAGTAAAGGTTTCAGTCAAAAACATTGATGAAAAAGCAATATGAAACCAACCATGTTTGTAGATATGTATATACACAATTATATAACTATATCTACTACATGTATGCTTTTTATACTAAGAACTAGATCATTGTCTTTACTTCTTTAAATTTCATTAGCTCAAGTTTGAACAGAAACATGTTAGATTACTTTTTTTTAACAAAGGCTTCATTCATTTAATAAAACAAGAACTTACATTTTATTTCCTTGAACCGACAGAGAAATACCTTTCATTTATCAAGTGTGTAAATAATGCCCATGTCACACAAACATGCATAATAATCTCACAATGAGGGTATCCAGAGTATAAAAGACAAGTTGAAACTCAGGAACATTTTACCTAAACAATTAATTTCCAGATAGAGTTGCCTTGATCAGTCACGTAACCACTGGGTAAGAGTTCTAAACTATCAGAAAGTCAGAAATCGAAACAGACAATACAATAGAACAGACTTGGAAGCTACCTGGCCAATAGGTTCACTCATGTCTCTCTGATAATTCCCCTGATCCCACCTCACTCCCTTTCTCTGTCTCTTACCACAGCTAAGCAGAAATTCAACCAGGTAACTGACCACATGTACTGCGTGTTGATCGATAAGAAAAATTGGAGAGAGAATTTGAATCATGGCATTTGTGTGTATGAAATTCTTCTATCACATACTGGCACTCATCTAAGACTGATCCCACTTAATGCACCCAGACGGGATCTACCTAATTAATGCAGGAGATGTGTTACTGCTTAGAAGAGTCAATCAGCAGCATGAGTATGATCCGTCCCAGCAGAATGACCTGGCTCATACACATGTAAGAGAGTGACCCAGCTACTTTGATTTCCTAATTTTGAAAATGCTAATGATTATTTTAGCACTTCTTTTTGTGCAGATGCTATGGCTACAATGACCAAGGACTACTGGAGAGTCCAGGGTTGATTAAGTGTCTAGCTGAGAGACCAAGAGGACCAGACACATGGGAAGTGCTGTTCCTCAAAGCTCTGCCTTCAGGCAGACAAGGAAATACCTGGTCATTCAAAGATGTATAAAAGCCCCCCTTGCCCATTTTAATGCACAAGCCTGATGCCGACATGCAACTTTTAATTGACCATCCCTTGGTCCTGAGCACAAAGTTCTCTGTAAGAGCATTTCTATAAGGACATAGTGGGAAAGGTCAGCTCCCTGGGATGAGCATTGGTATTCCATGAGAACACCAGGTCTGTTAAAGGTTACCCGCCTGCTTGGTGTGACCGGCTGGAGAAATAAGTTAGGGAGAGTCTAGATGTGGTTGAATTGTCACTGCTGGTCAAAATTTGTTTCTTTGTGATAACAACAACAACAACAACGGGTGAAATTATCTTGAAATACAAAAGAATGTTTGTTGGTCCTGAGAGTGCAAAAAGGAATCCTTAACAGCTTTGGCTTGCACCAAGAGGATTTTTTACCAGCTTCCCTTCATAAGAGAGGATGGAGGATTTTGGAAGAGACAGAACCTGGGAGAAATTCAGTGAGCTGCCACTTATTGTTAACTACTCCACAGAAGAACTGTGTGTTTACTGGAATTCAGTAAATGTAAGGATTTAGGCATATAAAGATTTAGTCAATGTCTGGCAAAATACTGCCACTTAGGACCCATTTGGCTAATACTAGAAGTAGCCATCACGTTAACTATAACTGCCTAACATTGTTTAGAAGTTAAATAACTTAAACTTTTATAGAAGAATGTCCAGTCAATACTATATTAATGTGTGTATTACATTTACTGACTGTTGAACAGACCCTGATTCCCAAGAGTCTTTAAGGCCATAATAAAAGCAAAAATTGTAATTAAATTTCTGTCGTACTGTTCAGTCTTTCTTGTAACCTCAATGAAACTGAAAGTACTATTTTAAAAGTACAATGATCACAACAAAATTCTATTTAAAAATCTTTTAAGTGTGGGGTTCTGAGGCTTTTGAACTTGAATACTTCCACTGACCCCCATAAATTCTCCTCTAACCAAGTTCTCATGTCAGCCAAGGGGGATTGTGCTAGATAGTAAGGATGCCTACAAGTAAATCCACTCGCAAAACTATAAAAGGAGCTTCAATAGTCCGGGGCATTTAATGGCCGGGAAGATCTAGAAAGATCCAAGGATTGTAGGGAGTAATATTCACCGACCAGAGCCACCTCACCCACATTCCAGAGTTGCTGAACTGATTACACACAGGTAAACATAAGGACGAGACCAAGTTCTTTCAAGAAATTAGAAAGGAACAGCTGGGCACGGGTGGCTCACGCCTGTAATCCCAGCATTTTGGGAGGACAAGGCAGGCAGATCACAAGGTCAGGAGATCGAGACTATCCTGGCTAAAACGGTGAAACCCTGTCTCTACTAAAAATACAAAAAAGTAGCTGGGCATGGTGGCAGGCACCTGTAGTCCCAGCTACTTGGGAGGCTGAGGCAGAAGAATGGTGTGAACCTGGGAGGCGGAGCTGGCAGTGAGACGAGATCGCGCCACTGCACTCCAGCCTGGGTGACACAACGAGACTCCGTTTCAAAAAAAAAAAAAAAGAAATTAGAAAGGAACATGGCTTAACCATGTCTATTTAGACATAAGTTAATACATAGGACAAAGTTATCTATCCCTTCTCATAGACTTAATAACAAAACTCTCAAAATGGGCTTTTATTGGATATTGTTGTGATTAAAACTTTCCAATTTCTCCTTCACTATTATAATAAGCTATAGGAGATGTCTTGTTATTCAGCTCCATATCTGCTGAATAGACTAACCAAAGAGAAGCCGCCAGTCTCTGTAAGCCGTTCTTGCTCAAGAAAATAGTCCTGAGAACAGTCTAGAAACCAATCCTGAAACAAGTAAAACTTTTCCACTAAACTCTCCTGACATTCATACACTTTGCAAGGGAGAACGCCTTTAATTAAGCTGCTAGTGTCACTGCAACAAGTCTTAACTGTACCATGGAGATACGTTTTGGTTATACATTGAAATAATAGCCTGTTTAATTAAGGTATTACAAAATGTTTGTTTCACTATATTCTCGGCAAAACATGTTCAGTGTATCAGTGACAGTTGAGATTAAAAAAAAAATCAACCCTGAATATAGCTAACATATTGGGATGAAAATTTCCCTCTGGGTGCTTTTCCCTCTGAAGCATCTAGATATTTTCCTTGTTAATAAGCAATGCTTTCACATAAATGATTTAATTATATGGCTTTGTCATGCTGCTGACATAAAACATATCTGCGAAAGCAAGGATTGGATTCCTAAATGTCTGTAGGAAGATTTAGTGAAGATTCAGTGCTCATCACTGTTGAGCTCCCCCTGGCTGATAAAAACCTACCAGAAACCCATACAATAAAGACAGGCGTGCATCCCTGGAAGCACAGAGTGACGGCTCCGAAATCTTTCCTTTTAGTTTGGAAGGAGTGAGGTGTCTCCTGTCTTCCCCAGCATGGCTGTGCCAATTGTCAGGTATGTCACTGACTACGCAAAAGCTGTGGGGGTAGATCTGCAGGTGAGGAGGTACAAGGCAGAACAGCCGGAACCGGGGAGTGTCCAGGGGCACCTGCAGCCCCGCGATTCTGTGTTCCTTGCCAGTGATGTGCCTCCTGGTGGATGTGATATTAATACTCCTGGTTGAAATACTGCAGGGAAACAAAGGGCCTCCTCTGTGTCGCTATATGGAATTTGGCTTTTTTCTTGGACCTTTCAAGGTGGATGTTTTCTGGTTCTAGAACTCCGTCTTGACGCACAGAAAGCAAAGCATTCAGTGGGCAATGGGAAGCAGAGATGAAGAATGCAACGGTTGGAAACACAAGCATTTGCCAGGATGTGCTGGGAATTTTTGCTGCTAAACACATCTGAGTGATCATTTCAATGTTTGTCATAAAACCTAGGATATTTAATGATGAAGGCATGTATCAGGGATGCACTCGATGCTGTAAATGATGTCCCTCAACTTGGATGTTTCTAAATATAAACCACTTCCTGTGGTCAGGAGCATCACCAAAACCTATTACTGAAACCAACCCTGATGAGGGGTACTCATGGCAGAAGAATAAGTTGTTAACATTTCTGGAGGTACCACACCCATGGTCATACACATGTTTTCTCTCTGGCTATCCTTTGTTTTGCATCTTTCTTGTGCCCTACTTTTTAAAAAATCCGTTTCTATATTCAAAGCAGTAATAAATACTCAATGGCTTAGAAAGTGAAGAATTCTCATGACCACCACTAAATTACAGTTTAAAGACTCAAAACTACATTGTCTAAAATCTATCTTCAAGTATTCTTTTGTGACTTTGAGTACAACAGTAGTACCTTATTGCACATTGATTCCCAAGAAACCCTTTTTAAGCGTGTGGAATGACCGGACTCGGTGCAGGGCAGTGCACCGTCTGGAAGCCAGGCAGAACCACCTTGCCCTTGCGATGCAAATCCCCCTGCGTGCCCATGTTCAGGCGCTGCACCAGAAGCTTCTCATAGAGCAGCGGGTGGTACGCCCCGAGGGTGCAGGCTGCGTCGTAGTACAGCTCGTGGTAGTGGCACAGCTCCGTCTGCCGCACGGACGGGATGTATTCGTACACATGCACCTCTCTGCACATGGACATCATGATGAGGATTCCTGACATGAAAACGAAAAATTAGAACCTAATGAACAACTCCACATGAGAGGAATGATTTTTTTGGGGGGTGGGTGGTTGTGATGGGGTATGACTGTGGCAAGAGACACTTGCTTTGCATTCACTTTTTTATTATTGTTACATTTGCAATGTTATAACTTCCATTAAGTGGTGTGTATGCAGTTCATGGAGTATGGGTGCATACTAAAATGTAATACTATATATATATATCTGTTCACTCATTCAATTTATCACTGTGGGCCTGGTAAGGAGAGATGAAAAGAAGTCAGTGAACTTAAGGGAACTACAGTCTAGTGAAGAACAGATTTGCAACCCCCAAATCAGAGTCTCCTATATCACGTTCTACACACATGTCCCATCTGGTTTGCAATGGTGGGACTGTTACATTCCAAAGAAACAAATGCCATAAAAACTAAATTATAAAATAGTTGCTTGATTATAAATTGACTATAATACAGTTGTTCGAAAAGTTGTAACATAAAACTGTACAATGGACCAGCTCTTATAAAATACTATAGTTCTCTGAATGGAAAGAAATGGAGTTAGAGGGACACGGAGTTTAAGATTCATATTAACAAAATTATTTTTCTCACTGCACTATCACTGTTAAAGGTTTAATTTTTTCATGTTTCAAATAAACAGCTATAACAGCTAATCATCACTGAGTACATTTTATTCTTTTTTTTTTTTTTTTTTTGAGACAGAGTCTCACTGTGTCACCCAGGCTGGAGTGCAGTGGCGTGATCTCCGCTCACTGCAAGTTCCACCTCCCAGATTCACGCCATTCTCTTCCCTCAGCCTCCTGAGTAGCTAGGACTACAGGTGCCCACCACCACGCCTGGCTAATTTTTTGTATTTTTAGTAGAGACGGGATTTCACCGTTTTAGCCAGGATGGTGTCGATCTCCTGACCTTGTGATCCGCCCACCTCGGCCTCTCAAAGTGCTGGGATTACAGGCGCGAGCCACCGCGCCCAGCCTGAGTACATTTTATTCTTGATCTAGACTAATGGCTTTCTTTCTTTTCTCAACACCATCAGTGCCACTATTAACTTGAAAGTTAAAAAAAAAAAAAAAACATGCTTATCTGTTTTCTGAAAGGGATATCCCTTGTTATAAAAAACATAAAGCAGCAGTTATTCTTGTTATATAGCCAATATTTATCTGAAGATGACAGTAATATTCCCTAATTAATCAACCATGTGTGCAACACAAAAATCTCATATCAGAGGAGTCCTGTATAAGGGACACTGGGAGAGAAGAGAGAAGGGGCCTAATTTTGCCGAGGGGATCCAGAAAGGCTGCCCAAAGGTGGAGAAGTGTGAAGCTCAAGGGGCTGCCTGGTAGAAGGAAACAGGAGAAGGGATACTGCTCCAGAGACAGCAAGGATAGCTTGCATAGAAGATGTCAGAGTCATGATACGGTATCATAGTTGAGAGTAAAACACACTCTTAACAAAGAGAAGGGGATTATGCAGTTCAAATTCTATGCAGTCAAGTTGCTCTCAAGAGCGATGGTCAGAACCTCAGGTTACTGGATCAATTCCTCTTGTTTTTCTCCCAGGTCCTTCTACCACTTTCCTTCCTTCTTCCACGGCTGCCTGGCCGCTGCTGCTCCCTTAGGTTATCCCGAAGCATGTGATTCAGGCATTCAGGTGGCACCAATTGAGAACAAGGAAGCAGCACCCCCCAGATGCTCGGAGTGCCTGCACCCATGGAGAAACATGAATGCAGGTGGTCAAAAGTTTGCCTCCTGATTAGTAATGACTGTTCTCAAATGTTTTTTCTCCCCTGCATAAAATCATATACAAGGAATTCACATGGTGAATGATATCTGTCCACGAAGAATTAAATTAGTTTATTTCCAGTCACTTGCCGACATGGTGAAATCCCATCTCTACTAAAAATATAGAAAACTAGCTGGGTATGGTGGCATGCGCTTGTATTCTTAGCTACTTGAGAGGCTGAGGCAGGAGAATCACTTGAGCCTGGGAGGTGGAGGATGCAGTGAGCCAAGACTGCACCACTGCACTCCAGCCTGGGCGACAGAGTGTGACTCTGTCTCAAAACAAAACAAAATAACCCACAGACAAACCTAAACAAACAAGAAATGCTCTGGTGTGAATGTTCTCTGGTGGCTGAAGTTTTCCCAGAGCCTGTGTCTATGGAGCTGAGGACAGCTTCACGCTTTCTAATCGGGGGCTACAGACCAAGTTGCTGTGCATTGCCCAGCATTGGGGGCTCCCTCTCACCTGGGTGTGACATCTGCTCTGCCAGCTCTGCACAAGGAACCACATTGAAGGGGGTGGACTTCATCACGGGCATCATTAATCAATATATTTATTACAACACTTTCCTTGCACATGGCAGGGAGGTGGCTCCAAGGGTGTCTTTTGCACAAAGTCCCTGTATAACCTAGCAGTGGAACTGTAGCCAGAAACCACAATTCTTTGCTACTTGGGCATTTCTATGAGCTAATAACACAATGGCATCCATAAGGACTGGAGTCAATTGTGTTGGAGTTATGACCTTTGCAACTCTGGCTCTTAAACTGGATGGTTTTCAAAAGCCAATCTTATACTTATGGGAGTATGTTAGCCATGCAGTTGGTCCTCCCCATAAAGCAGTAGTCCTCAAAGTTCAGCATAGTCAAGAACGACACAGGCAGCTTGATCCAAGGCAGGTTCCTGGGACTTGTCTTCATTTCCAGAAATTCAGGTTCCATTGGTTTGTGCTGGGGTCCAGGAATCTGAATTTTTAACAAGCATTCCCTTTAGGTGAAAGGCCAGTTAGAGAAAATCTCCAAACTATCACAGACCAATGCTTTTGTAAAACACCATAATGAGGAATTATGAGAAAAATGATCACCTATTTGGATGCCATGGCTATGGGCAATTGCTGTAAGGTGTGTAAATCCTTCCAGTTTCTACAGTAATCTAGTTGCAGAGCAATAAGACACGTTCCTGGACCACTGCTGGTCTCGTCTCCTGCTTTAAAGAAAAGGTTGTTCGAACACACATTTTTTGAGAACTGCTGAGGAATCCCTAAGTTGTCTCATAGGCAGGAAGACATTCTGTATGTTGACAGCTAATCTAGATTTGAACTGCTACTAAATCCAAGTAACTCTGGGGAGTTTCCCTATACATCCTTGCTATCCTCGTGGACTCAAAGAACTATCAGACGCTTGAATCTGATTGTTTTTCCAGAGACAAATTTTACCCTTGCTGCTAGTTAACCGTTATATCTTAAATCATGTTATCTGCTAAATATACAATATAGATTTTGTCACAGACTATGCAAATAGTTATGCTTTCAATATATGTAAATAGGTACACTTTTAGTATTTTCTTATATAAGTACTCTATATTTAAAAAGAACTTCTTCAGCTTCAGAAATAGAGGGATTTGTCAGTTAGCTCATGGCAGTCCAAATTGAAAGCCAATAGATGCTATGAAAGTGGGTGTTTGACCTGAGTTTTCTGCACAGTTCTTCCTGATCTTTGCCTATTGGATACAGATTTAGTAACAATGATTTCTCCATCTTGTTTTGTTGTCTCATGAACTTGTGGCTGCCTGAAACTATGAACCATGGCTTGGAGCATCCTAAAGTTAAAGTAACAGTAGAATCTACCCTGAGTGTTTAAGTGGCAGCCAGCTGCAGCCACTGATATGGAATTGGTATGAAGGCATCTTCAAAAAAAAAATGAAAAAATTAATTTAAAACTCACTACAGAGTAAGGCGTGCAGTGGCTCACGCCTGTAATCCCAGTACTTTGGGAGGTCAAGGCAGGTGGATCACTTGAACCGAGGAGTTTGAGACCAGCCTGGTCAACATGGTGAAACCCTGTCTCTACAAAAAAGAAAAATACAAAAATATCAGCCAGGCATGGTGGCTTGTGCCTTTGGTGCCAGCTACTTAATTTAAGAGGCTGAGGTGGCAGGATCACTTCAGCCCAGAGGTTGAGGCTGCAGTGAGCCATGACTGTGCCACTGCACTACAGCCTGAGTGACAGAGTGACATCCTGTCCAAAAAAAAAAAAAAAAAAAACTAGTAATAAAAATAAAACTAATTGCGTTATGTGAAAGGTAGACAAGGAGATTTATAGCGTCAAAGATGTAGAATATTCTTTAATATTTTTCAGACAGCATGATCGATTCATTTAGCATATGCATACTTTGCTTTTTAATTTTCTTTAAGGCTGTTGTTACACATAAATTTGAGTTTAGATTCAGACTCTGTCATATAATAGTGAAAATTATTAGTATTAAATTTCATTCCATCTACACATAAATTTTCCTAAGAGTTAATAATAGTACTTAGCAATACACAAACACTTGAAGAATAAATTTCTTCATACTTTGCATAAAAGAACTAGGTAGATGTCAATGTTTGGACATATACAATAATAGCTCTTACATGGTTCAGAATGGGGTATGTGGGGAGTAGATACTGCAGGCAGGCAGAACGGGGACAGGATTAGGGAAGAATAGAGTCTTTAAGTGCTGTTTGAGGCCTCCTCAATTAAATTCAACATCTATCAAACTGCCCACGTTACTAATCATCAGAGATTTAGAGCACCTTTCTTTAAAAACAAAACGAAGTTAAACAAAACTAAAGATTTCACCTTTAAATTTAATGACAGGTAGAAGGCCCATGACCATTCTTAGGATGGCTTGAAGAAAGTATCCTAAACGTCACACTGAGAAAAATGTTTATGAACTACCATGAGATCTCTTCCGCAATGCCCCAATGCTGAGCCTTGTCATTCACAAATGACTAGCAACAGCACACAGCTCTCAAACGAACTCTGCGTCACCACCATTAAGGTATTGTCAGTTCCCAACACACCCTTAGGTTCAATGATTCAATAGGAAGACCCAGTATCTAGCACAGAGTTTTACTCACGATGATGATTTATACAAAATGATACAAAGCAAAATCAGCACAAGGAAAAGGTGCACGGGGTAAACAGTTCAGGGTTTAC